AGCAATCAAAAATCAGCGGCCCCGAAATAATCCACTCAGTTTTATTTATAAATATTTTAAATTTATGCGAAGTCTTATTTTATTAACCCGAGATGTTTGTGTGAGTAGAAATTAAATGGATAATATTTAGTCGCTGAAAAAAAAACTATTTTCAAAAGTATTTGTCAGCTGTTAATGAACTATAAATAAAATTATGTCCCATACTAATGGAAAAATTCTTGGCTAGTACACTCCTTCTACAAACAAATTCGCGTACTAGTGGGGTAAACAGGGAGGAAGTGCTGTGTGCTGTAGGACTTGTCAAAGGGAAGTACACTGCACTCATCGCATTCAACTTTAATTTAACTTTTTAAGGCTGCATACTAGTTGCGTCCCAAAGATATCAACGAATAAAAATCTAATCCTAATTGCGGCCCGAGTTTATTTTGGGAACAGACGAGTTGCGGCCCGGGTTTTCTAACTTTAGATAATTCAATCTTGACTGATAAATTATAATCACAATATAATATAGATACCAATAAGTACACCTAAGTCTCCGCTTTCGTATCGCTAAGAACGTTCCGTCGCTTTTCTGTGTATTTTAATTTATTTATAATGTCGAATGTTGAAATTTTGAGTGAAAAAAATCGCAGTTTATATGTAATCGATGGATATAAATTTCGTTTCCATAAAAATTTAAAAAATGATATTGATCAATATATTTCTGTACTAAAAAGACTTGTACAGCATAATATGTATAATCATTTAAATAATAATKTAATTAATAAAAAAGTTTATATATAGTTTTAATCATGAAAACCACAAGAAAGATAGTGTTGAAACATTAAACAGGCAGACTGTTCGAACACGGACGCGTTTTCGCGCCACTGCAGTTTCGGCATAAGTCCCCAAAGCTGCGCCTCAGATGCCGAACCTCACGAGGTGGCTTACCCCCTTCTCGGCAGTCCAGCGCCGGGCCGTTCACCGCCGTAGGCTGTGCCGCCWGCCCGTTTTTTCTGTTTTTTTGTCTTTCGCCCACCGCCGAACCGGGCGTGTGTCTGCGGTTTTGCACGTTTGTACGTTCTTTCGTGGTCAACCGACCCATCCCATGGTCGCTCATTTTTTTTTTTATATATAATTATACCGTGAAGTGTAGTGGCAATTGTCGGTAGTTCTGAGATAGTTGGAGTCAGACTTGCTCACTACTACACTCCGGCTTTATTCGAGCGACTATCAGATTATTATTTGTCATCGTTGTCATCATCTCAAAAGGCTGTCGCCGTTCCAGCCCGGACTCAACGGGGGAGCAGCAGCACAGGTTTCACCTTTTTTGTTGTTGTATTAATTGTTGTACATTGAAATTGTATTTTTGTGTAAGAAATCAAACCTTTTGATTGACATAATATTATTATTTATTATTGTCTTTCCGCGTACGGGCCCGCGTAATTATTATTATTATAATTATTATATATACATATTTATTGTTGACAATATATATCTGGCGCCCATATTAATTAATAATTAGTAATTAATTATATTATATTATTAAAAGATTTTTTTTTGTACACCGTGGGAGACCCTACTMCCGTCCATCACTACGCGAGTCGTTATAGCGCAAACCGCGATTTATAAAGTAGGAGCGGACGGCGAACACAGACTGTAAGTAATCAACTGATATGAAAGACCAAATCTGGTGACGAAAAATACAGACGATTGGCTAGTAGTGAGTATGAAAAAAATACCAAAATCGGTAAATTTTTTAAATACTTTTTTGGTTTACCCTTTTTAAATTCGAACAATGTGAGTGACTGTTTTACAGATCACTTAATGACTATTCAACCAAGAAGTGAAAAAGTAGAAATATTTGTTGATTTTACATTGGAAACATACCTACATTTCAAACGAGTCCGATTTTTCTCCTTTTTTATGTACAGAATACTCAGCGTCTACTAATAGTTGTGAGGCTTTTTATTCGAAATTCAACGCTTTGTTCTACAATGCACATCCTAAAATTTTTATATTCATCGATGTTCTGAAAAAATTACAGAAGGATAACTATATAAAATTAAGAAACACTCACTTAAATACTCGTAGAACAAATATAATTGAAAAAGAAACATTTATTAGAAATGCTAATAAACGGTTAGAAGAAAACCAAATTGACAAATTTGTATTTATACAAATACTATCATACAAGTTTTTTTCTTGTAGGAATTTTATTAAATTATATTATTAACGTTTTAAACTTCATAAATATCATATACGTTTTTATACCAGCTCCAACTTTTTTTAATAAAAACAAAACATTTTAATATCATATTTTAGTGTCAAAAAACTTTTAAACATTGTTAAAATAAAAACAAAGCATCATTTTTAACCTACCTTCAGTATCTACTGACGCTATAGACAATCTTAAGTCTGTATAAAAATGTGAAGGAAAGTGAAGCTGTTTAAATTTGAATTTACGTATTTAAATTAATTTAATTTTAAATTTCGGGCCGCAATTTGAAAGTAACCCAAAAAAACTCGGGCCGCAATTCGAAAGTAACCCAAAAAAACTCGGGGCGCAATTCGGAAGAAATTTTTACCCCGGGACGCAGTAACTAGTATACTAGCCATCCCTTTTTAATATCTAACCGTTATTAGTATTGAATTAATATAATATGCATCAACTCTGCTCGAGAAAATCAAATCAACCCTTAACCCAACTCACGGATCCCAAACCGACGGAGATTCACCTCTGTATCGTTTTATTGCGTTGGCATTTATGACGGCATTCGCTCGTAAGTCAATAATCACGTCTTAATGTCGACGAATGGTTTTAGTCTTAAATTGTTTTCCCCGAGACAATTTTTTCGATAGCACAAACACTCTAATAATATTGACATCGGTTAGCGGAAGGATGTATTAWGCGTTACAACAGTATACAGGTAAGTAGCAGATATATAAATGTAATGAGAGGATGATGGTGAAAAACCTTTTCACGATGACGTATGCAAAGGGCTGCGGGTATTAAAATGCAGACAGGTAGGTACAAATGGTAAATAGGTATTCATCACTTACTCCCTTTCTAAACCTCTTCACTCGGCCGGACCACTGCAGCCACACACACACACACACACACAAACACATTATATGTATATTATCATACTATTACACTGCACCGAATGAATAATTATGTTAAATCAGAGACCGGAATAATACATTAATACCTAATGAATTAACATTTCTAATTATCCCGAAAGACTTTTGATCAAGTTTTAATTGAAATATATATTTTTATTAACGAGCACAGGGGATAGTTTTAAATTAAAAATTCTATTTACACCGTACCGAGAGGTTCTGCATTATATATTCCTTACATTACGACGAATAACTGTTTTTTATACAGTTTTCTGGATAGATAGTTTATATGTATAATATATGGTACTGAATAGTGAAGTGTGATAATACAACACGTCTCCGAATAGGCCACACAAGACTGATTTACAAGTTCCTTATAGACAAAGAGGAGCCGTCTTAATGCACAGTCTGTGGGGTTACCCTAACTGTAAAACATATAATAACAGAGAGCTATCAATATTCCGACGAACTCGGAAAATTCAACATTCCAACCAACATGAATGAAGCATTAGGACCAGGCATCGAAAACAACGCAAATATGTTGGCTTTCCTAAGAAAAGCCGACCTATTCAATACAATTTAAACCTTCTGCTAACGATAAACACGATATTAATGTTAGTGGAAATCACACAAAATTAATACCATATCAATTGTATAATTTTAATTCTAAAAACCACTCATTATGTATCAAACAAAAAACTAATAACCTTTGCTRCTGATGTTTTTAAGTTCAATAAAATAAAATAAAAAATAATACAACACATAAAGGTATTATAGAATATTATATTTATATTAGAATATGACAAGGATGGAGACAAAATACTTGAAGAAATGGTACWTCAAGGTCCACTATGGAGACGAAATATAAAATAAATTTAAAAAAAAAAAACTTGTTTTACCTTTAGTAAAAATATGTAACATTATGTGGRTTTAGTAATGATATGATTTTGGTTTTATTAAAATTAAAATTAATAATTTGTAAAAACTTGAATTATGATTGATTTTGTGATTTTGTCAATCAGCTTTTATTAGACAATAAATTAAGTAAGTACATTCAAAAATATAATTGAAAACGAAAGTTTTTTTTTTGTTAAATTCCGATAAATTCTACCTCCCCTTAATCTTGTATACTCTCTCTTGCTAGCACATTAAAATCCTAGCCTAACATCCTAACCTTAAGTAACTCCGCTGGGCGGTTTCTTATCTCCTGAAGCCATATCACCTCCATCACATCATATGCTTATTGTAAAATAATATTTGCAGATTGTGTATATTATAATAATATATGATAAAAAAAATTCGAAAAAAATACTTCTTCATTTCTTTCTGATATTCTAAATGAAATAAATAAAAAATAGTATACTAGATACATAATCAAAACAAAAAAATAAGTATCTAGATAGGTACAAGATACAAACCAAAATTAACAAATGTCAAAAGATATTAGATACAAACGTAAATAAAGTAGTTAATCTAACTAATCTATCTTAGATACAAGTACACTTAAAATAGGTACTGTATATTGCTGCTGTAAGAAATATTCCTTACAATAAACTCTAAAAAAAAAAAATGTTAAATAGTATTCTGATTTTTATTTTATACAAATCAGAGAAAGAGAGGTTTAAATAGTTAAATTAATTTAATTGAGTTCAAAAATATTTATAATAGGTACCTAATACATTTTAATAAACACAAATTTTTCATTTTAAAAATGGTATATTTCCCAATTTAATTAATATTCCACATAGTTTATGTTATACATTACAAAAAATCAATAATTATGTTTCACAATTACCTATACAATACATTACCGATATAATAAAATAACACAATGTTGTTTAATTTTATAAAAACTTCAGACAGTAAAGGAATTATGGTGAAGTTACTGCTACATGACCAAAACATTGTGCTATACGTGAAACTTATTGAATTATCAACTTAATTATACTCCGTACCAAATAAGAGCGCACCGGGCGGCCACAGACAAAACCGGTTTTGTTACATAAATTTGGTACGCTCTTATTTGGTACAAGGTATAGTATACCATGCAATATCATTTTTTAATTTATCCATTATATATTAATATAATAATAAAAATTAACATCACATTTTATGTACGCAATAGATGAACAATGAAACTAATACACATCAAATAAMATATTATTAAAAATAAATCTATGATAACAACTTACTAATAATAAGGTCAATTTTATAATAATGTATAGTTATAATATCATACAACTAGATACTTAATATGTGAAAACGTAAACTTTTAGACAAATATATTAAGTAAAAAGTAAAACGAATATTATTAAGATTCATACAGTCGATGTATATCAGTATAATAAGTTACTTATTTATTTATTATAGCTTATAGATTCCCCATAATATAAAGTAGAAGAGAAGATAAAGGAGTATGTGCCATAATATTTAAATATAACTTTAATACAAAAATTCAATTGTGAAACTATTATGACACACTCTGTTTACTTGAAAATAAACCTCAAAACAACAATAACTTAGACTTGTTTCCGAAACAATGAATTGTACACAAACACAGAAGAAAGCATTCAAGAATGAAAAATAAAATCAATAATAAACAAATTTATTTTAAACAAGGAATATATGATTCAGAAAAATAATCATAATATGATTAATGATTATGTCTCGTATACTATAATTCTATCATTATGATCACAAATACACAAGCACAGAGATTGACYAGTATTAATATGTTACAGCAATTACATTCGTTGCACATCACACTTTGGCGAAGAAAATTGCTGAAATAAAATTAAAATGTGGTGTGTACTTAAATACATAAAGCACAAAAGGAAAAGAAACACTCTATCACGTAATTATACCTATACCTACCGGCAAACACATACATAAATTTGGTATATAATATGTATGCATTTAGTTCAAACATTTACTCTAGTAATACTTTTTTTTCTTAAGTTTATACCCTAATTCATATTCGACCTGCGAACCAACCAAAAGTCTGAGACACTTATTTATGCGTCGGAACGCAACACKATACGACTCGGAAGTTTTCCCAAACAACAACCAAGACCCGAGCTGTGTCCCAGTATTAGATCCGCGGGAAGAGGAGAGGAATGACATTATGAAAACAGGACACGGCGACAAGAAACATGGACGATCGATACTCTGGGATTTTTTTTTCGACATTACCAAATTCACGTTGGCACGTCCTAACACAGAGAAAGCAAGCAGCACGCGATCTTAAACGTCTGACGCCGAGGAAAGGCGATGATCTCGACGGCGGCGGCGTTGGTGGTCATCGTGGTGTTGCTACTGAAGACCATCAGTCGTCGCCATGCAGTTGCTTCCGGTTGTTGTCGTCATTGTCGAGCAACCGTCAGAAATTGGTAAAGTAGCCGGCACGCAAGAAGACAGCACCTGTTGAATAGTCTGGCCGTCAAACGTGAGTAAGGTGACCGGCGGATCGATGGCCTGGGCGTAAGCCACGTCACCCTGCGTGTCCAATATCCGGTAGTACTGCTCCTCGTTCAGTTCATCGTCGGCTGGGCTCAAGCCCAAGTCTCGCATGGCCTGCGTCATGTACTCGGAATTATTCTAAGTCGAGAAAAGACAAAAAATAATTTTTAAAAATATACGCAACAGTGTGAATATTACATAATAAAATTATTATACCATAAATATTGAAATGTATTAAAAAATATTATATCATTAAGTGGGATGGAGTCAGTCATTTACTAAGAAGAAAGCAATAGGCAAATTATGTGGCAAGTACATCCGGGTCATGTATGCAATTAAAAATCAATATTGTGTGTGTGCGCTACACGGCGCATTCTCGCACTCACATACAATGTCAGTATATTCAATTATAAAAAACTATTTAGTTACTTTTTCAGAAGAAACATACCTAGGTTGTGACGAAATTGTAAGACTTGGGCTGTTACGTTTATCATTTTGTGAAAATCCTAATATTTATTAACTTATTCTTAAAAGAATGATCGAGGATTTTATTTTTAAATTTGAATTTCTTCAATAAATGTAAACAAAAATATTGTGAAAACTGAAATTTTATAATATTGTAATATTGTCAAAAACTTTGAAAAAATACTTAGACGGTCCTATAAAAGAGATGGGGTAAGGAATGTAATTATTTTAACAGCATTTAAATCAAACAATCCAAAGCATCACAATCTTATAACAGCGGAAGGCATTTTTTTTTACTGAATTGAACCACCTAAATAAGAGATCGAAACCATAGGTGTAGTTAGATGGCCTATCCAAAACGCCGTGTTTTCGTTTATATATATATATTTGTAGTAATAAAATTGATGAAATGCATAGAAAAAATCGTTTTAAGAGAAAATGAAAAATTGGGACCAATGGTGATACATAGTACAATATCTGGAACGAAACGGAAAAAATTATAAACTGATGAACTTAATCCCCAAATTCATCACAAACACTACCAACGGCCAATCGTTATGAAGGGACAGTGCTTTTGAAGGCGACCAAACTAACGCTCCGTATGAAATATAATATAGCCATTAATCCGATTGGGGTACCGCTCACTCTATACAATATACATGCACGTTTATATTATTGCATATCATTACACCCGTTGTAATCCGCATCGGCTCAATCGATCGCGCACACAGTAAATAAAACAGTATTCACCAGGCTTACTTTTATGGGCCGTTTGATGGCTATTATGCTGCCCGGTTCGATTGGATTGTCCAGCTGTATGTCGGTGGCCGTTAATTCGAAACCATCCGTATCTGAAACACACATAAATGCAAATAACGATGTCGATAATTATTAATAAAATAACACATTTGCCGGCGCACAACGTTCGTGTGTTTTCGCTCCGAATTGAGGCCAAAGTTAAAACTACTATTCACTGTCTATTTGTGCCCTTGCACTGCAGCACATGTGCATGTTAGAGAATTCTTATTGGTAACGATTTTTTACTTAGTACACCTGATTAACTGGAAATTTAATAACACCCGTCTCTTCTTCTCACTGCCCCAAGAAAGTTGTTTGTTGCATAACTTAAGCTCGGGAACACGATTTATAATAATTAAAAATATTGTAACTCCAATGCTTGCAATGATTAATACATTTAGGTTGTAGTAAATGAGACTGTACGTTGACAGATTTATAAGCAGACGGCACAATACAGTTCYGTCTTATAATTGTTTTCATAAAATAGGTTTTTTTGGTCAAATATGGTTCAAATTTGTAAAAAAAACCAACAAAAAAGACGTGAGAAATCTATTAAAAAGAATATAAATACATCTAGCATGGCGCTTCTAACTTTATTTTTCGAGGATAAYAAAGGAAATAATTAAATGTCATTTATTAAAATATCGTTAGATGTATAATACGTAAATAACGCAACATTAAAAAATTAATAAAGAACATATAGGACACAAAAATAAAAATCTATAAGTGTGATTCTCTATTAACCACTTTGAAATTTGATAATTTTTTTCTTAACATCACGAATAAGTCGACAATTCATAAAATATTTATAATTTATTGAAAATAATAAAAATTTTAAGTAAATACTTGTACATGTTTTTACAACTTCGTATGATTTTTAAGTTAATTATCGTGTTAATTATCGAATAATTGAGATTCAGACTATTTTTAATTTTAAAGACTAGGTAGGTATATGAAAAAAATTTTCAAATTATTTTTACTCGTGATATGATAGGTAAAGCTTCAAAATTATAACTCTCGAGGCCTTTAAATCCGGTTTTTTTTTAGGGAAATAATTAAGTATCTATAAAAATCTTTAACTATAACGAATTTTTTTATAGGACATGAATAATTTAGTTAGTGCATACCACGTGAACGTGATATGGATGCTGCACACATTTTATTTCTCACGGAGCCAAAATATACATATAATTAATTCAGTTAAATGATAATTTAATCACCGAACACTGATATAACACACAGAAAGTCAGAACAAATGTGTGCTGAAAATTAGTATAAAATATTATAAGTAAACAGATTAAAGTCTATTGGCTAATAAAAGTAGTATCAGTAAGCCTTAGATATTGACGTTTTAAACACTATTATAGTTAATAGTTATATGGTATTATAGTAAATGTTGAATAATACGATATTACAGCGAAATTACGAATTCCACTGATGAAATTCAACGATGAATATTGATACTATTTTAGCATAACAGATTTAAAGAATAGTTTTAAMAATTAAAAAACAAAAAGTAACGAAAGTAACTGTTCTAACTGTACAGTTGTAGAACTCGAGTGGCGCTCGTCATTAAGCAGGTTACTCGGTTACTGTAAAAGAGGTAAAATTGTAAAAACAACATACATTCGGTAAAACTAAAACTATTAAATCCTGCTGTCATTTAAATATAAAAATATAGGTACTATAATTTTAATACAAAATTAAAATAGACATACCGGTAAACTGAATATTAACCGTTTGAGGGGGTTGTTCTATTTTTTTTACTTTATGTCCGAGCTTTTTCGATGGTTGTGGTTCTTGTAGGGAAGGAGGCAACAAGTGGTAGTGATGTGCCCGTTGGTGTCTTAACAGTTTATTTTTTAACACATATTGTTTGTAACACCACTGGCAACTGTGCGCCTGAGACGACGCAGTGGCGACAGTGCTGCTATCCATTTGATTGCTGGACGGGCCGTCATCAATGGTAACCGTCTGAACATACCAATAATTAATTGATTAATAAAATAAATATTATATTCTTATAAAATGGTTACAATCAAATATTTTACTTATAATACTGCATCATTGTTTTTACTACTTACTTTATCAGTCGGTTTTTCGGGGAGTTCACAATCTGGATGATTTTTAAGTATATGCGATTTCCGCTTAGCGTTAGTCTTGTACATCTGAAACAAATTAAAATATTGTAATAACAATGTATTAATCCCCTAACTATGGAAATATTTTGAAATTATGATGTGTCATATAATTACTTTATCACAGTACAAACACATGTACATTTTAGCTTTAGGTGCAACCGGTTGGTTGAGCGACGGCACAGAATCAAGACTTATTTCGGGATGTCTCTGAACCAAATGATTTACGTAAACGCCTCTTCTTTTGAAACCCACCAAACATTTATCACACCTGAACTCTGAACTTTCGTACTCCAACATTGATTTAGTTGTTTTCTAAAAATACGTCAATTTGTTGACCCAATATAGGTATTTAAAGTGTATATTTATACAACAATTTGAATTTTACGAATATCTTATATATTTCTAATAACTACGAATACTACTTAATTGTTTAGTATTAAGTATGACGTTTTTCCGCACAGAGTTTTATCGACTAAATAAGAAATTGAATAAATTATGATATTAATGCAGGATGAAATTCAATATGGATATTGTTTCGATCGTTATATGGGATAGATAAGTGTTCAAATATTATTATTATATTATCAATTATTATTATTATATTATTATCGGTAATTAATATAAAATATTATTACCATTTGAATTTGTTGTGCTTTTCTCTCCGCTCTCGCTTCTAATTTTAATTGAGTTTTCGATGGCTTTTTCTTAGAATAATGAACTTTATTCATATGTATCTTCAGTTTGTCTTTTCTCTTGTACTGTTTACCACACATGGTGCACAAAAAATCCCTTTGGTCCGAATGGCTGCAAATTAAATAAATATATCGAATGTATATTATTGTTTATACCGACAATTGCTCATTAAAGCATTTATATACACTCGTCTAAATACTCTTTAGGTTTTACACACATAAATGCCCTCAAGCATCATACCTGAGCATATGTAAATTGAGATTGAAACGACTATTGAACGAACTATTGCAATATTCGCAACCAAACTCAATGCCATGATGCCGGGCTCGGATGTGCTTTCTGATCAACTTATAAGTATTGAATTGCTGCGTGATAAAAATGAAAACATAACAGTTTACATTGAAATACAATCGCGTCTATTTATCCAAGTAAAGTAATTGGTATAATAATTTAATCACGTGCATTCCACTGCCYCTCTTTAAATTTGAAAAATAAACCTATGCCACTATAATTAGCAACTATTAACGTGCATTTTCACGATTATTTTTGGAATTTTCTCTACTCTCAATAGCAAGTTATTAATTCAATAGTAACATGATGAAGTAACGTTATCCAATCGTCCACGAGTGAAATAATAATAATTTATTTACAATTTTTATTTTTACCAAAAATTAGCATGCCATGGATTTGCATGGTATTTTTTGAAGCGTTAAATTGGATTGTCTCATCAGTCATCAACAACTCATATTTTTACTAAGCCACTAGGGGATGCACTGGACATGCCTTACATTTAATTTATTTTACATTAGAATGATAGGTACAATAATATAATATATGATATATATTATACAATTTATCTTTTTACTATTATTAATAGGTGCCTAGATATTAATTTTTAAGTTATTCCACATTAAGTACAACATTGTTCCTACTTACGTGATTATAATACGCATATTTTTAATCATACAGAATAGACAAATACTCACATTTTTATCATAAAATAATATGTAAATTTACAACAGATATGTACCTAGGTCTGATTTTGATAATTTAAATTAGTTTATTATATTAATATTTTTAAACTATAATATAGTTTTTTTCCAAGTTATTCAACTGTAAAAATTGAGAAAAATAACTAAAAGACATATATATTATGGATAATATTTACCTTTTTGTATCCTAAACAGTTTCGAATAATACTKAAGGGACCTRATTTAGTTATGTCAAACGTATACCCTAGTAAGAAATGTGAGTTGTTTATGAGACAATTTGATAAAACGCTACGACTTACACCATAAAAAATCATTCCAATGACGTGCTAAATTTTGATAATAACAAGAAATGTAAAAGTGATAATTTAAATAACACAAGGAGGGCTAATGTACCACTATACCCAAGCCTTCTTTGTGCAATTAAATACATAAATCATGGGTAAATGCAAATTCTAAAAAATGACCGTTCATATTCGTACTAATAGTGGTATAGGAAGTTTTTGTTAAGTAAAATTGAAGGAAGAGGGAAGCAGTGTAATGTATATGTAATATAACCGTACGAGAGGGCACATCGGGCAATAGAAGATGTTGTTCACTGCGTGGGAATATACGTGTCCCTTTAATGATTTCAAATCAACAAATGTCAGGCGACACATAGGACAGTCGTAAATTACACCCTCTGAAATGAATATAAAATATTATTACACAGTTAATTTCATATTTTTGTACAAACAAAAGCATAAGTTTGACGATAACAGATAGGCAGTGCAAAATATTATATAGTATGCTATAAAAGTGTTATAAACATGTCATCTGGTGTTAAGAAGGAAAAAATGAAAATCTACACTATAAATAATTTTTTAAACGTACTCTTACTTCACAAATAAAATACATAATAATAAATTATACATATATATATATATATGCATATAGTAATAGTTAAACCAATGAAATAAATGCTAATATTATTATGTGTTGCAAAGATTGTACACGCTACTCGGGTATTTCGAATAATATAACGTAGATATTTATTTTATATTACGCGAGTAKCTAGAATCTAAATAATATATCATTTCACTAAGTAAAACAACTYGAGTTTCCTAAACAATAAAGCATTATAGTTTTGTGAAAACATGACGATACWTAGAAAAGATATCATAACATTTTTGCATAAAAACTGCAAACTCACAGGTAAGATCGTGTTTCAAGGGAAACAAAAATAGAGTAGTAACTATTATATAGGTTTAGTAAAATAGATATAACAATATTGTAACAGGAGGTCATTTACTCGCGTGAAGATGAACGTACATTGAATCAATGATGAAATTGTAACAGCTAAATAATACAATATGAAAATGCTTTGATAAAAAAAAAAACTGTCTGTAATAATATTATGCATAAATAATGTACCAAAATGGGTGCGCACGTGACACGTTAAGACGACTGTGTTCAAAAAACGCTTATCGCACATGTTACATTTGTACGGCTTGAGTTCATTTTCCTTGTGTTTTGCTTGATGAGCCTGAATAGAGAAAAMATAAACGTAAAATAATAATAAAAAACAGTAGGTAAACAAAAAGGAAAWATCAATTTATCATTTTACTATCAAAGGATTGACGCTTACTGTTAATGCGTAATAAAAACTTAGGATAAGGTACTTATATCGTTAAAAATATACAGAATTAGACTACAAAATTTGTAAATATAAAGTAGATAACTTTATAACTTATTACTTTGAATAATAATTTCCTGTTATATTATTCAAGTTTCCAACGAAACATGCGTCTATTTATAATTATTTAAATATGATTCATACAAAAACTAACCCTTAGATGGATAGCATTCCTGTATCTCCTCTCACACTGATAACAGTTRTAAAAGGTTCCACCTAGGCCCATTCGGTTATCCGTAAAACTGTGCACGTAAACGTGTTTAATTAGTTCTTCGGTTTGATGAAATTCCTAAGAAAAAAAAACAATTATGGTACAAAATTTTTAATTAAAAAAATTTATGATAAATGTACTAGACTAGCATAAACAGCTTGTGCTAAAAGGTTTGTTCTTAACCACGACCATTTTGAGTCAAATTATTTAGGGATTCTTGAATGACTAACATGTATTTTAAATACAACTACATAATCAAAATTCTCTCGATAACTGCTGTACTACCAAATCTCATACTATACAGATATATATATATATTATATTATGTACATAAATACATATATCATATAAAATAATTAAATACAAAAATCTCATACTTACAGAATTACATTCTGGACAACTGGTATCAGTTAACGTTGCTTGTTCGGCATCAAATTCATCTTCGTGCAATTTGATGTGTATTAAAATTGTTTCACGTTTTGAGAATTTCAAATCACAAGACATACACAGCCAAATATGTCTAATTATAAAATAAGGGCAGACTATTAATTTWAWAAAAAAAAATGGCAAAGTAGGTACAGCTCTACTGTACATTAAACGACATGTAGAAATGGATGTATTTAATTTTAAATCGATAATATAAAAACACTGCATACAAAAAACGATTCAGAGTAAAGACGCTATGTCGTTCTATATTACAAAGTATATTTTGTAATATATTTGCYACAAATTAATTTAATTTACTATTACTAATACGAATTGCAGTAGATTGAATTACCGAAAAACATTACATTTGAAGATGTTATTGTAATATAATATAATAATATGCCTAATTTAACATTTTTGATTGCTCACGAATAATATTTTGAAAATACTAACAAAATAACTAAAATTGTTAATTTTCGTTTAAAATATAAACAATTGAAAAAAATTTTTTTCCATTTATCTCCCTCAAAATATTATCTGGATTCACTTTCGTAACAGAAAAAATATAGTAGTTAAACATCGAAACATTTTTAGTAATCAAAAAAGCAAAAAGTACACAAAATACATCATAATAAAATMAACACATTTGTCACATCGCTCAAAATGTAAAATCTTCACCCTATATACAAATAACTATAATGACTTACTGGATGCTATTGTTCGATCTTAATTTCATTCTATAGTTGTTTTTAGAATTATTCTTTGCATTGACGCAAAGATTACACTGTGAATTATTTTTACCAAATCGATTGGATAATTTTCTTTTTAATGTCATATGCTTGCAAGTCGTCGGTGATGAGAACATCTAAGAAAATAATCAAATATTTTTAAGTCAAACTAATTAAGTGAATACAGTTAATCACATACCATTTTTCCTTTACTTGATAGATTATTTCTAAAATGTTCTGACAATGGTCTGTTCAGCTCCTGTGATATTTTCAACGATTTAAACGTTTTTCGTGCAAGAGAAGACGAAATCCCATGATTGATAACTAAACAAACATTTTTATTTTATTTAATACTGTTTATATATTTGTACTATTTTCAAAATTCATAAAATACGCAAAAATATAATTACGATATAATKAATATTAGAATCATTTAATCTTTGACACATATTTAAACGTAAATTTGTAAAATGTGTAAGTAGGTCCCTATTACGAAATAAGATGAATTACAATTTATCACAGAAAATAATAGTTAATAATAATAGTTATTAATATATTTATAAGTTATAACCAACATATAACATTATTTTATTTAAGATTTTTTAATGCAAGAGCTCAATATTTATGCATTAGTATTTACATACCATAAAAAATAATTTTAGTTGAAATATTTTATTATCGGTATAATATTTAGAATATTATATAAATACAAATAATTAAAAATTAAGATACACTATAATCAATAATACATAAATTTATTAAAATCAAAATTTTTTTCAATACCTCCATAATTTCAAGCAAGTTAAATTGAAAAGCTCATGAATATGAAGATCGAGTGAAATATAAAATAGAATATAGATAACACAATATTATAACAGTGATGCTACAAACGGAAAGTTTCAAATTCAAACCTAACCAAATGCTAAATTATGTATTATTTAATGAAGTAAGTTACTAAGACACATATTAAACTGTAGTAATCTGATCGAAATGAAAACAATAAATGAATAAAATATATAAATTACATAAATTACCATACGTTTTTAATTAAAAAAAAAATATTCAGATTATTTAAATTCAAAAAAAGTTATAGACGGGTTCTATTTTCAAATATTAGAATTTGAAACATCCATTTTGTTGATTACAACCCATGTATGGATATTAGAAAATTATATACATCAACTACTAATATCCAATTATAGGTCACTCCCCAATATACGAAACTTTTATGATTATAAGTATAAAGTTAATAATTAWKAATTATTATTATTTAGGTAGTAAAAAATTATAACGCACGGAAATTAATTATAGAGTCAAAGTCGGACATTGATGTGTTAATTTCACGAATCGACATAATTTAAAGTACCTCCATACTATATATTTAAAACATAATTAACACCGCCAGATATTATCGAGGCGTATGCGATCGTCAAAATATATTATATCATTCGKCCGCGTTTATCGTGTATTCGTGTGTACAGCGGATAACCATCGTGATTACACAATATACAATCTAAACAGTAGGCAGGTATATATTATGACATGTAATATTACACGATCATAAATAAATCGGCCGATGTGTATAAGCTACACGGACTACAAATTTTATTAGTACATAAATATATTATAAGTACCTATTAATTGGTTTCTACGTCCATCACAGTTTAAGTACCTATTATTGTTATATGTCGTGCTAACGTCGTGTTTTTACATTGTATCGTCATTGAAGTCATTTTCAAATTTATAACACCCATCGTCAATTTATTCTTACCRTCAAATCATGATAATAAATCAATTAATTTATTTTTCTCTTTTTAATCTATCAACGTTATTTACCCCGACRTGATAGACAACAGAATATTATACAGTGATGGGAATTTATTACACGATATTATTGTGAGCATAGCACTTTCTCCAATCAAATGTGTGTATTAATGACGAATTTCATTGAAATCGCGAAACACTCTTATAAGAAATCGTTTTCATTACTTCGGTTGATACTCGTCGACGAACAATTTTCAAACAAATAGAAGGAATTTTTAACATAACTTAAAGATAAAAGTTAACAATATTTTCCATGATGATRGTTTTCATACAGAGCTGCAAACGAGTTAAAAACACCAACAACAARTCAGGAAATGTCCGATAAAAACCACGATGACCAAAATCATACATACCTATTACGAATAAAAATTAGTTTATAACAAAACAATAAGGAGCTCTACGCATAACTAAATGTAGATGCACGCGCACAAGAAAACTATTTCCCTAATTTTTGTTTTCGACAAATTTTTGTATTGTTTCCACAGTACTGGAATGATTAAGACTCAAGATAAATAACTAGTGGCTGAAGCAAAATTCACATACCTTTTCATTAAATCTATACTAGTTGATTACAACTGTGGTATACAAATTTGTTGATATGACGTTTCGTTATTTTAGATTCTGAACGGAGTGATGCGAATGTATTGACTTTACAATGATGTGTTTTTTTTTTTGTCTCTGTGTAGTGTGTACAGCATAACTAGTCGAAATAATG